GTAAATTAAATGGTATCAATTTAGGTCTTCTATCATTAGATCAAGAGAAGGCGTTTGATCGTGTAGACCATGAGTATTTATTCAGAACATTAAAAGCTTTTGGTTGTGGTGATGTTTTTTTATCCTGGATTAAGATTTTGTATACAAACGCTTTGTGTTTAGTGAAAATTGGAGGAGATTTAAGTTCACCAATTCAAATGCAAAGGGGAATCAGACAGGGATGTCCTTTGTCTGGTCAGTTGTATGCATTAGCAGTTGAACCTTTGTTGTGTTTATTTAGGAGAAATGTGTCTGGTATATGTATAGGAAACAGTATTCATAATGAAATTAAGCTAACCGCATACGCAGACGATATCACTGTGTTTGTTAAGAATCAAGAAGATGTTAATACAATTAGTAAGTGTCTATGTTTATATGAAAAGGCATCATCTGCAAAATTAAATTGGAGTAAAACGGAAGCTTTGTGGTGTCTTGAACATTCAACAGAAGTCTTACCAGTTATTCCTGAAAATGTAAAATGGGGAAAAATAGGGTTTAAGTTTTTAGGGATTTATTTAGGAAGTGAAGAGTTTAAAAAAAAAAATTGGGAGAATGTAAAGGATAAAGTATGTGCTAAGTTGTCTAAATGGAACTGGTTGCTGCCTCAACTATCGTATAGGGGAAGAGTGCTGGTTATCAACAATTTAGTGGCATCCACCCTGTGGCACAGGCTAAATGTTCTGGACCCACCAATGGACTTTTTTGTGGATATCCAGAGAGTTCTCGTTAATTTTTTCTGGACTGGAAAGCACTGGGTGAAAGAGGCAGTCCTGTATCTACCAGTTCATGAAGGAGGACAAGGCCTAATTGAGTTAAAATCCAGGTATGCGGCTTTTCGTCTTAAGACTGTCCAACGGTTTCTTTACTACCAAGATCAGAACTGGATGGAAGTGGCGTGTGCCCTCTTGAGGAGGGTGGGTCGTCTGGGTCTCGACAGACATCTGTTCCTAATGAACGTGAAGAATATGGACCTGAGCGGACTCACATCTTTTTATGCTTCAGCTTTGCAAGTGTGGCAGATTTTTTCTGTGGAAAGAGTTAACGTCTGGACTTTGGAAGAACCTTTGTTTTTTAATGGACTTTTGTCTACTGAACTACTGAATTCAGGCACTCTACGTAATAATCTGATAAAAGCTGGCATTTGCAAAATTGGACATTTAAAGATTAACAACCAGTGGATTACAGCAGAAGAATTGCATCTTAAAACAGACATTCGGTCTCTTCGAGTTCTTCAAAGATTTCTGGAGGAAATAAAGAGTCTTTTGGATCTTCGGATGTTACATTTAGAGAACTTTGATGGATTATTCCCTGAAATACGTGTGTTTGTGGAAGTGGGAGATTGGGAAGAGACTGAAGGGAGTCTACTGACTTTTAGAACACCTGAACTTGGAAACTTTGAACTTCTTTCCAAGAAAGCCCTGTACATGACTTGTGTTAAAGCCCTTAATTTAAGAGCTCTTGACAAAGTGATCGAGTCAAAATGGAATGGAGTGGCTGAGCAAGGATCTTCCCCGAAAGGTAGTTGGAGGTCCCTGTACAAGAAGCCCACTGAGAAAAGATTGGGTGATTTTCAGTGGCGGATTGTACATTGGGCTATAGCCACAAACAGGTACAAAGCACATCTGGATCCTTTGCATAGTGTAGAGTGTAGTTTTTGTGGGGAATCTGAAACTGTTAATCATCTTTTTGTTGAATGTTTAAGACTAAGGGGACTTTTTTTGTTGTTAAAAGATGTTTGTCAAAGGTTAGGTTTTTTGTTTACTAATGGGTTATTTATATTTGGGCCAAAATATAGTGCTACAAATAAGCAAAAAGTTGTATTACTGAATTTTATTTTTGGTAAAGCAAAAATGGCAATCTGGTTAACCAGGAAAAACAAGACTCTGAATTTAAGTGGAGTAGATCCAGTGCAGATGTTAAAAGGGTTTATAAAAGGTCGTTTGACGCTGGAGTTTGCTTATTATGAAATGATCAATGATATTGAGACCTTTTTTTTATGTGGGGAACTGAGGTGTGTTGTGTAAGCCCAGTGAAGGGCAAGGTTATCAGATAAGTTTTGGAGTGTTATAAAAGAGAAGTTGCTTTGTATTGTTTTCCTAATTATTATTATTATTATTATTTTTTTTTTTTTTTTTTTTTTAATTTTTTTTAAATTTTTAAGGTTTTTGAAATGTTTTATGGCGCTAAAATATATATTTTTTTATTATGTTTTGGAAAAATGAATGTTAAATAAATCAGATTTTAAAGGTCTCTCTCTCTCTCTCTCTCTCTCTCTCTCTCTCTCTCTCTCTCTCGGTGTGACGTGTGTGACTTGAGTGTGAGCGGAGCGTTTGTGAGTGAATCGGAGCTTGTGAGTTAAATCTTTCTTTCTTTCTTGCATGGGTTATTGCTAAAGGAGTGGTGATTTGTCTGTTTGTTTGGGCCGCGTGCTGCCGTTTTTTTTTGCGGGTAGCATGACGGACCCACGTATGCAAGATTTGAGTAAACTCACGCGGCGCCATGGAGTGAAGGTGGCGTCCGCGGTGAGCGTGGAAGACTGTTGCCTGGCTGCAGGAGAGGTTGTTGGGCATGAGCATATCATGTCGGCCTCTAGAATGAACAGTGCCACTGTCATCTTTCTTAGCTCTGTTGAAAAGGCAAATGAGTTAGTTGAGACTGGTATAGTTATTGAGAATCTTTTTACTCATGTTCTCCCACTTTCCATGCCATCTAAAAAAGTTTTGTTGTCTAACGTTCCGCCTTTCATAAGTGACGAAACTTTGGTGAGAATTTTATCACGATATGGTAAATTGGTGTCACCTATTAAAAAGATACCAATTGGAAGTGGATCTCCTCTTTTGAAACATGTGGTTTCATTTAGGAGATTTGTTTACATGATCCTAAAGGATGATGAGGATCTAGATCTGTCATTGCATCTCAAAGTTGACGAGTTCGATTACGTTATTTACGCTACTACGGACCAAGATGAAATGTTTCAAGTGTGGTGAAGTGGGCCATTTAATTCGTGCTTGCCCTGGAAAAAAATCAGGAAAATGTTCCAGCGACGGTTGACATAGTTAATGTTAGTGAGCCGGTCGAGGCTGGTCCGTCTAACGCGGCTCGGCCAGCGCCGGAGACGGCTGAGGAGAATCCGCCTGTGGCCGAGAGTGCGGCGATACAGGTAAATGACACCACAAATGTGGTTGAGGAAAATAGACTGGGGGATGCTGAAACATTGATTATTCGTTCTCGTAAATTGAACGTGAAAGAAAGTGGTAGTGCACCTAATGTTTTACTGCCTGATTCGTTTTGTGATGGCATTGAAATGGAGACAGAGCAGAGTGATTTCAAAGTTCCATCAAAAAGGAAAACATCTGACGAGTTTCAGAAAGTTAGAGCTAAGAAAGCTGACGTGGAGGATTGTTATAGTGAAAGTGACAGTGAGTCTTCTGATTCTAGTGTCAGTCTCTCTCAGTGTGACTTCTCTAGTCGTGGTTTTGAAGTAGATGACATTAAACTTTTTTAAAGCTACTAAGAACAAGGAGAGGGGTCTGTGTAAATAATTATTTTTCAGACACAAAGCAGTTTGTTGAGAAAACCAGGTTTTTTATGTCGGAAGGTTGTTTACAAATAGGGAGATATATCGACTAAAAAAGATCGTAAGAAAACTCACTTCTGATAGTGCCAATGAAGGTAGTGGGAAAGTATAGCCTGGCTAGAAATGTGGTGTGTGTGTGTGGAGTGTTGATTTGTTTCTTAGTCTCTTTCATTTCTCCAAGCATGAGTGAAAGTGAATATTGCGACTTTGAATGTAAATGGAGCAAGAGAATTGAGAAAAAAAACAGCAGGAATTTTTGAAATGGTTAAACAAAAAAGAATAGATGTTGTTATGTTGCAAGAAACGCATAGTGATTTGAGGAATGCTGCTGATTGGGCTGAGGAGTGGGATGGGGTCTCTGTGTTGAGTCACAACACCTCACTTAGCGGAGGGGTTGCTATTCTGTTTGCTAAGAGTTTTAGTCCAACTTCTTATCAGGTTGACGAAGTTGTTAAAGGTAGACTATTAAAAGTGAGAGCTATTTTTGAGAATTATATATTTGTTTTATTTGTGTGTACATTCCAACGGCACAAATAGAAAGAATGTTGTTTTTAAATACTTTGTGTTCAGTTTTACAAAAATGTTGTGTCGAAGAATATTTATTCTTGGGTGGTGATTTTAACTGTACATTGTCAAACTTGGACAGGAATCATATTGAACCTCACTTGCCCTCTCGTAATCGTTTGGTTCAGCTTGTTAAATGCATGAGCTTTGTGATGTTTGGAGCAGCTTCACGAGACACAAAAGCAATATACTTGGACTCATGTTCGTGACAGTGTGATTTCACTGGCAAGATTGGACCGTTTCTATGTTTTAAAGCATCACTTTAACATTGTAAGAAAATGTTTAATTACTCCACTGTGTTTTTCTGATCACAGTATGGTGCAGTGTTCTGTGTTTTTAAACTCCATTAAGCCAAGGAGTGCATACTGGCAGATAAATACTACTTTGTTAAGCGACAGGTATTTTAAAAGTACGTTTAAGCTTTTTTGGGAAGAGTTAGAACCGTAAAGGGTCTTTTAATTCTCTACGGCAGTGGTGGGATTTTGGGAAAGCCCAAATAAAGCAGTTCTGTTTGCAGTATACTCGAAACGTCACTAGAGAGATAAATGTGAGTATGAAACACCTTGGAGACCGATATTTTAAAACTTCAAGAATTAGTTGAGTCGACTGGTGGTCAGAGTTATCTAGATTCTTTGTCAAACAAGAGGACACAGTTGGCTGATTTACTGGGCATTAAAACACAGGGGGCTCTGGTCAGGTCGAGGTTCCAGAGTGTGGACCAAATGGATGCTCATCCAGGTTCTTTTTAACTTGGAGAGAAAGAACGGTCAGAGCAGAGTCATTCATGCTCTGCGCTCCGAGTCTGGAGGGACTATTGACAAACCCTGCAGACATTCGAAAGAGAGCAGTTGGTTTTTATGAAAACCTGTATAAAAATGAGATTGGGGTGGAATACAGGAGTGACAGTGATTTTTTTAACGAATTACCCCAGGTGTCTGAAGAGGTCAATACTGAAATCTCTGGTGCTTTGAGCGTGGCTGAACTGTACAAGGCCCTCCAAGGAATGGAGTCTGGAAGGCGCCGGGCATTGACGGCCTGCCAGTAGATTTTTACAAGTCTTTCTGGTCAGAGCTAGGAGAGGACCTTCTGGAGGTTTTGAATGAAAGCTTGCTGAAGGCCAGCTGCCTCTGAGCTGCCGTAGAGCAGTGCTAACCCTCCTACCCAAGAAAGGCGACCTTGCAGATATAAAGTGCTGGAGGCCCGTATCACTACTCTGCAGCGACTACAAACTGCTCTCGAAAACGCTGGCTAACAGGTTGGCAGGAGCGATGGATGGTGTCATTCATCCTGACCAGACCTACTGTGTTCCTGGTAGGTCAATATTTGACAATGTTTCATTGATTCGTGATGTTATAGAGGTCTCCAAGATGTTACATTTAGATTGTGGGTTAATTTCATTAGATCAGGAGAAAGCATTTGACCGTGTTGAGTTTTGCTATTTGTGGAGAGTTTTAGAGGCTTTTGGGTTTTGTCAAAATTTTATAAATCATATTAAAGTTCTTTACAGTGGCGTTGAGAGTATTCTTAAGGTGAACGGTGGTTTATGTGCTCCTTTTAAAGCTCAGAGAGGTGTAAGGCAGGGGTGCTCAGTGTCTGGTATGCTCTACGCTTTGGCAATAGAGCCACTTTTACAACAGATACGGGTTAAACTTCATGGTATATGTTTGCCAAACCGTAAAAATAACATGATACTGTCAGCTTATGCCGATGATGTCATAGTAATGGTTAATAGGCAAAGTGACATACAGGTTTTGTTAGGTTTACTTAACATTTTTAAAGGTTTATCTTCTGCAAGTGTAAACTGGAAAAAGAGTGAAACTTTATTATTAGGTAAATGGGCAGGTGGGAGACCAGATCTCCCTGAAGGTTTAGGTTGGGGAAAATCAGGGTTTAAATACTTAGGAGTGTATCTTGGTGATGATGTTACAGTGAAAAAAAATTGGGAAGGAGTCATTGAAAAGGTTAAAGGTCGTCTGGATAAATGGAGATGGTTAATTCCAAAGATGTCATATAGAGGGCGTATTGTAATTATAAATAATTTAGTTGCTTCTTCACTGTGGCATAAGTTTGCATGTATTGATCCTCCCTCACATCTTTTAGCGAAAATCCAAACTATTTAGTAGATTTCTTCTGGGATAAATTGCATTGGGTCCCACAGAGTGTGTTATTCTTGCCTAAGGAGGAGGGTGGACAGGGTCTAATACATCTTCACAGCAGAATCGCAACTTTTCGGTTGCAACTCATACAAAAACTACTAGTTGGTTCAGTTGAATATAAATGGTGTTCTGTCGCATATGTTATTTTACGTAATCTTGAGGATCTGGGTTTGGACAAAACTATTTTTTTTCTGGACCCTACAAAATTGAACACTTCTGGTCTACCAGTGTTTTATAAGAACCTTTTTAAGGTTTGGAGTCTTTTTGTTTTTAAAAAAGCAGAGGTTTCACAGTCACTTCATTGGCTTTTGGAAGAGCCTCTAGTTCGTGGAGCACGTCTGGATGTGTCTGCCGGTGGCCTCTTTCCAGGACTTAACAAAACACTCATTGACAGTAAAACCACCACTTTGAGGCAATTACTGGAAATAGCAGGACTTGATTTTAAGAATGAAGAAGCGACGGCTCAACATCTGGAATTCGATCAACTCGTCTAGTTGTGCAGCTATTGGTGAAATGGCAGACGCTTCTTAATACAACAGAAAGAACTTTGTTGACTGAGTGTCGTGATGGTCTCTGTAAACCAAATCCTGAAGACCCTTTTCCTTGTTTGTTGTTTTCTTTGAACCTAGAAGAGGTTTCTGGAGTGTTTTTAAAAGTTTTGATTCCTTGTGTGTAGACTTTTTTTCTTGTACTGGGAAAACTTTGTATAAGTATTGTGTCATTTTGTTTAACAAAAAAATGCTAGATAAGAAAACAGATACTCCGTGGCGTGATTTTTTTACATTGAATGTGGATAGAAAACCTGAGTGGAGAGCACTTTATAAACCACCGTTGACGAAAAAGACAGGTGACTTACAGTGGAGAATTCTTCACGGCGCTGTCGCCGTCAATGCTTTTGTTTCAATTTTAAATTCTGAGGTTGATGCTCAATGTCCTTTTTGCACTGAAAGAGAAACCATTTTTCATGCATTTGTAAACTGTGCAAGATTAAAGCCTTTATTTTTGTTTTTAGAAAGTATTTTTCAGAGGTGTAATGAAACTTTTTCGACAGTATCATTTATTTTTGGTTTTAAATATGTGTTGAAAAACAGATTTGTATGTCAGTTGTTGAATTTTGTGTTAGGCCAAGCAAAGTTGGCTATTTATATTAGTAGAAAAAAGAAAATCGAGCAAAACTCTGAGCAGAATGTAGTTGCTATGTTTTCAAACATGTTGAAAGCTAGGATATTAATTGATTTTGCTTTTTACAAGCATATGGATGATCTCATTACCTTTGAAGGTATTTGGTGTTGCAATGAGGCATTATGCTCTGTATTTGAAGGTGACTTGTTTTTTGCACATTGATTGTGAGTTGGGGCTGCTCTTAATATTTATGCATATTGTATTGTAAATATACTGTGAAATGATTTTGTAATAAAAGTTTGTAAAAATCAAATCTCTCTCTCTCTCTCTCTCTCTCTCTCTCTCTCTCTCTCTCTCTCTCTCTCTCTCTCTCTCTCTCTCTCTCTCTCTCTCTCTCTCTCTCTCTCTCTCTCTCTCTCTCTCTCTCTCTCTCTCTCTCTCTCTCTCTCTCTCTCTCTCTCTCTCTCTCTCTCTCTCTCTCTCTCTCTCCTCTCTCTCTCTCTCTCTCTCTCTCACACACACACACTCCAGCATTGCAATCTTGACATCGCTGCCTGTTCATTATGCGGTCACACCAAACGCGAATAGAGCGTCAAATTCGCATCTAGTTCGACGCTAGTCCTAAGCGAATAGGATGCGCATATAAGCCAACGTCTGAAGTGAACGCGCGTTCAAAGCTAAGCCTATGGTACAGATTATGTGTCCCTAAAGAACCCGCGTATCTGACAGTAGTTACGTATTACATTAATTAATTTGCACGCGAGTTTTATTTATTTTTATACCGTGTATTCTCCGTGTAAATTCGTGCACCGAACCGTGACGCCCGTACCGTTTCGGTTCGATACGAATACATGTACCGTTCCACCCCTACTATCTATAGGGCGCAGCTGATTGGTTTCTGCTGTATCAGTAGCCAATGAGCTCGCTGCTCAACCATCAATCCTTGGGTATCATTTGCAGTCCACCAGAGGGGTCGCCTCCTCTGCTGCCTTGGCAAGAGGTGCCCCCTTGCAGTTTGTTTGTAATGCGGCAGGCTGGTCCTCTCCGCACACATTCATAAGATTTTATAGTTTGGATCTTCATGCCACTCCGGGCTCTCACTCTCACCTTGCGACATCGCAAGCTAACGTCTAGGGCTTTCCTGCGTTTCTTGTGAGCACACCTACACATCCGTAAGGAGTCCAGACACCTTCAAGCACGGCGGCGTGGGTATTCTCGTTCCCAATGCGCTAAGCAGCGTGGCATCGATTGCGAGATGCTGCGCTACTTTGCCGTGCTGATGATGTCCCAGGACTGCTCTTCAGACAAAATATCCTGACGATGCACCTGCGGCTCATCTAATTATAGCCTCACGTCGCGGGTGCGCGCCGATGACGTCACCGACCGAGGCTATATTACTTCCGGTCGATTCCATCGACGTGTTTACACACTATATTCACAGCTGGTCACCATTAAAGACGTTCCCAATGCGCTAAGCAGCGCAGCATCTCGTTCTGCTTTTTCAGGAACAGCGTTACTGTCAAGCAGTGGTGTAAAGTAACGAATTACAAATACTCTCGTTACTGTAATTGAGTAGTTTTTTTTAGGAATTGTACTTTTTTAAGTAGTTTAAAGACAGTGTACTTTTACTTTTACTTGAGTACATTTTAAGTGCTGTATCGGTACTTTTACTGCGCTATTTTCCCTGAACCTGCCGTCGCTACATTTATATTAATATTTATTTTTATAATAAGTCATGTGACTCCATGCGTGATTCCCGTCAAATCAAATCGCGTGCGGAAAACTTTGCATCAAACCAGCATCAACAGACTTCGAGACACCTGGCGCCTATTTATTTTGTTCACGAAGTGACTTCGGAGTGGATCTTGAGCCTGGAGGAAGTTCATGCATTTGTGTCTTCATATAGCCTAGGCAAAAAAAACATTTAAATTGTCGTATTTAAATTGTCTTTGTGGTTAAATATTTACACACACACACACACACTAGTCTACATTGCGATTTGATTTCAAGTGTACTGAACTGCTTTCTATTTATTCCTCAAAAAAATGACAAATTCCGTGAAATTCCGCGTTATAGGCCTACAGTAAATTCCTTTTTTATGACTGGATTTTCGTCAGCATTTTGGGGGGGGGGGGGGGGGGGTCGTTTGAGGGGGCGGGCTGCCCCTCCAAAACAATGGTAGGGGGAAACAGTCAAAAATAAAACTGTTGGAGAAATATTGAAATACTGTTTTTGTTTTTTGTTTTTTTATGAATGTGTGATAAAAGAGTAAGCTACATTTTCAATTTGCAGGGTATAAGGTGGACTAACATTCATTGCATAATACTCACTACTCACTACTCTTGAGTACTTTTAAAAGGGCTACTTTTTACTCCTACTTTGAGTAGTATTTAGGACAGGTACTTTAACCCTACTCTCACTAAATTTTTTGACGAGTAACAGTACTTTTACTTGAGTATGCTTTTTCAGTACTCTTTCCACCACTGCTGTCAAGTAACCCGGAATGTTTTTCAGCGTCCCTCCTCCACCTCAACTCCTCACTCATGATTATTCCCAGCCAGGGATGAGTGGGAGTGCTCTGGGTTTGGGCCAATTTACGAGCTTGGAGCTCTCTCCTTGGACAGCACGCCAAATACGCATATTTTATACTATATCTTTTTATATGTAATTAAGAACTTGTGAAAACTGTATTGTTAACTAAGTATAAATCAAAAAAACACTATTAAAGTGTCTGTCTCAAAGTTCTTATGGAAATGTGAACTTTACGGCCAAATAAAAAGTGCATTACAGTTCAAACTTTGACCTCCAAAAAACTAAATAGGTCAACTCAATATCTCATAAAGCTGAACATGGTCCTTAAGAAAACATTTTGCTGAACTTAAAAAGCAACAAAAACACAGAGAATTATTTGTAGAGTAAGTTTATGCTGGATTTCACCTTGTGTTTTTTTCTCCACCCATTTGTTGATGTTGACACGAGCAGCCTCTGATTTGTTCTTGAAGTCCACCTTCTCCAGTCCGGCTTCATAGTAGCTTTTTGCGTCATTGAGGAATTTCTGTAACATAGCAAACCGATTGAGGTACAAATGATATTAGAGTCAAGAACATTTCCAGAAACTTGTCCTTTAATAACAAAACCAAACTTTGAATTATTTGGTTTGAGTCTTACCTCAACAAACTGGTAGGATTGCTCTCCGTAGAGGCGGTTGGCAAGACTCAAAGCATACGGGACTCCAGGTTTGTTCAGCTCAGTCATAAACTTTTTGAAGCTGGAATGAATTTGGTCCACTGAATCATGATGTCCTGGAGTCGCGGCATCAGGTTTGAGAGGGTTTTTAAAGCCCAGGACCTGCACAGCATTATTGCGGGTAGAATTAATAAAGATAACCTCACTATTCTGATAAATTCAGCATATAGTAAAATACAGGATATAATAGTTTAAAATACTGAGCATGATGATGCATCCAACACACATATAGCCTAAATATGCATTTTGAATTCTGAACTACTGGTCATGAAACATACTACACAAGTGTGAGATCACCTTAATCATCTGAGCCGCTGTGTTTCCTCTTGCACCGAGCGACACCATGGCCAGAGCCGAGGAGATGCTGACAGGAGAGTAGAACACATTTCCTGATGCGTTTCCTCCGCTGATCTTCTTGAACAGGTCGAGGGAGAACTGTGTGTTTGCTGCTGTCAAAGGCTCCATTTTCACAAGCTGAGCAAGAAATAGCAGTAGTTTTATCAACAGCAGATTTGAAAATCTTCTTCACACAATCTAGTTAGATCTGTTTTAATCAAATGTTATTACTGTGTAATTGTTTTTTGTTATACCCGGATTTATTTTCTGTCTTAATTAAATACTCATTCTCTGCATTTGAGTCCTCGCTCTCCTTTCCACAACTATCCCGTGACAGTGGTGGACTAACCTTCCACCTAACTTCACAAAATAGAGTCCTTTACAATAACAGTTACTGTAAAGGACTCTATTTTGTGAAGTTAGGTGGAAGGTTAGTCCACCACTGTCACGGGATAGTTGTGGAAAGGAGAGCGAGGACTCAAATGCAGAGAATGAGTATTTAATTAAGACAGAAAATAAATCCGGGTATAACAAAAACAAAGCAGGCACGAAACAGGTCATTACTCATAACACGGGTGAACATCAATAACGAACAAGCACAGGACTACAAACACAGGGAGACTAAATGGGGAACAAACAAGGAGGGTAACGAACAAGGCAGGTGGGAAAGATTAATCAATTATCAGGAAACGAGATGGAGGGGATAGACAATTGACAGGAGAGCACATGGCACAATGAATACAAGACAAGCCATGTGCTCACAATAAACCAGACCAACACAAACACATGACAAACCCGGAGTGTCACAGCTCTGTCACTAAACCCAGAGAAGACACAGATAATAGTGACAGAACTGTGACACTACCCCCCCTCAAAGGGACGCCACCTGGCGTTCCCAAGGAGGGACACCAAAAACAAGACAGGAACATGAAAATACAAAGCACCCGAACTCAACAACGGACCAGACAGACAGATCAAAACACCAAGACAGGGAGGGGAGGGAGGGAAGCCATTCCAGTCACTACCCGCCTGGCGGGCCACAAAGTCCTAAGCATAGACCAGGGAGGGACAGGAGGGTTGAGCCAGGGAGGGACGGGAGGGTTGAGCCAGGTAATCTCAGGCTTGTCAGGAGTCCTGGCTGAGGTCCAGGGTGGTGCAGGCTGGACAGTACACCAGGGCGGATCAGGCTGTGCAGGACCCCAGGGCGGATCAGGCTGTGCAGGACCCCAGGGCGGATCAGGCTGTGTAGACCCTTCGGGCGGCCATGGTGGAGATGACCATTCAGGTGGCCATGGTGGAAACCACCCTTTGGGCTGCCATGTTGGGAACCACCCTTCTGGCGGCCATGGTGGACGAGAAGCCCTGGGTGCCGAAGCATCAGGGCGAGGCGCTTGGGTGGCGCCGTCAGGGCGAGGCGCTTGGGTGGTGCCGTCAGGGCGAGGCGCTTGGGTGGCGCCGTCAGGGCGAGACACTTGGGTGGCGCCGTCAGGGCGAGAAGCCCTGGGTGCCGAAGCGTCAGGGCGGGGTGCTTGGGTGGCGCCGTCAGGGCGAGGCGCTTGGGTGGCGCCGTCAGGGCGAGGCGCTTGGGTGGCGCCGTCAGGGCGAGAAGCCCTGGGTGCCGAAGCGTCAGGGCGAGGTGCTTGGGTGGCGCCGTCAGGGCGAGAAGCCATGGGTGCCGAAGCTTGGGTGGCGCCGTCAGGGCGAGAACCTTGGGTGGCCCCGCTGCAGGCCTCACTGGATGCTTCGGGGTCTCGACTGCGGGCCTCGGAACAAGCTCCGGGCCTCGTTGTTGACCGGAAGCTCTCTTCCTCTTCCGTCTCTGAGAGCGAGAGGGTGCTGCAGTCTCCTCAGCTACCACTGGAGACGTGACTGAGAGAGTGGACAGATCTGGGGCAACTGAAATCAGGGCCTCCCGGACCATCGGACTTGAGCCCCCGGAAGTTGAGTCCTGCTGGACCACCGGGCTTGAGACCACCGAAGTTGGGTCCTCCCGGACCACCGGGCTTGGGACCACCGAAGTTGAGTCCTCCCGGACCACCGGGCTTGAGACCACCGAAGTTGGGTCCTCCCGGACCCCTGTGCTTGGGACCACCGAAGTTGAGTCCTTCTGGACCACTGGCCTTGGGACCCCTGAAGTCGGGTCCTCCCTGACCACCGAATTCGGAGGATCTATGTGACGTTCTAGGAGTCTTAGGAATTCCTCAAACGTCGACCTCTCCAAACCTCTCATAATGCCAAAAGGTATTGGCTCATCAAGGGCATAATTGAATAGATCCTTCAGAGCACCCTCACTAAGTCTCAATCCCTCTGCCGCTGCAGTGAATCTCTGGGCAAAGTCCCTCACTTTAGTCCCCAGTTGCCGAAGAGAGGTCAATTCACTGAATTTCACTATCCGTTCATATAACGGGCATGACAAAGGAGGGACCGGTGGTTCCCTTGACTTCTTCCTCTGCTGAGTCCTCATGATGGCTTGTTCGTTCTGTCACGGGATAGTTGTGGAAAGGAGAGCGAGGACTCAAATGCAGAGAATGAGTATTTAATTAAGACAGAAAATAAATCCGGGTATAACAAAAACAAAGCAGGCACGAAACAGGAAGCAGGCACGAAACAGGTCATTACTCATAACACGGGTGAACATCAATAACGAACAAGCACAGGACTACAAACACAGGGAGACTAAATAGGGAACAAACAAGGAGGGTAACGAACAAGGCAGGTGGGAAAGATGAATCAATTATCAGGAAACGAGATGGGAGGGGATAGACAATTGACAGGAGAGCACATGGCACAATGAATACAAGACAAGCCATGTGCTCACAATAAACCAGACCAACACAAACACATGACAAACCGGGAGTGTCACAGCTCTGTCACTAAACCCAGAGAAGACACAGATAATAGTGACAGAACTGTGACAACCACGGAACTCCGGCAAGATGTGTGACAGGAGACAGAAGATCGTTTAACGTTAACTGTTTATCTCTTTAGATTTGTCAATATACATATCCAGCATTATACAGCATTAGCCAGAATTGAGGTGGTAAAATGTGGCTTAGTCTGAAATAATAAACAAATAAATATATCAGAATATGTCTGAATACAGTAAACATAAAGATTCACCTCAGTATACATCATCTATACAAACAGGTGAAACTCAAAAAATGCAAAAGTTCATTTATTTCAGTAATTATTCAACTTAAAAGGTGAAACTAATATATTATATAGACTCATTACATGCAAAGTGAGATATTTCAAGCCTTTATTTGATATCATTTTGATGATTATTGCGTACAGCTTATGAAAACCCCTAATTCAAAATCTCAGAAAATTTGAATATTACATGAAATCAATAAAAAAAAAGGATTTTAAATGCAGAAACGTTGGCCCTCTGAAAAGTACAATCATGCATATGTACTCAGTACTTGGTTTGGGCCCGTTTTTGCATGAATTACTGCCTCAATGCGGCGTGGCATGGATGCTATCAGCCTGTCGCACTGCTGAGGTGTTATGGAAGACCAGGATGCTACAATAGCGGCCTTCAGCTCTTCTGCATTGTTTGGTCTCATGTCTTTCATCTTTCTCTTGGCAATGCCCCATAGGTTCTCTATGGAGTTCAGGTCAGGCGAGTTTGGCCAATCAAGCACAGTAATCCCATGGTCATTGAACCAGGTTTTGGTACTTTTGGCTGCTGTCCTGCTGGAAAATAAAGTCAGCATCTCCATAAAGCTCGTCTGCTGAAGGAAGCATAAAGTGCTCTAAAATGTCGCGCTGACTCTGGACTTAATAAAGCACAGTGGACCAACACCAGCAGATGACATGGCTCCCCAAACCAACACAGACTATGGAAACTTCACACTGGACTTCAAGCATCTAGGATTGTGTGTTTCTCCATTCTTCCTCCAGACTCTGGAACCTTGGTTTCCAAATGAGATCAAAATTTGCTCTCATCAGAAAAGAGGACTTTGGACCACTGAGAAACAGACCAGTTCTTTTTTTTTTCTTTAGGCCAGGTAAGACGCTTCTGACGTTGCTTGTTGTTCAGGAGCGGCTTGACAAGAGGAATACGACATTTGAAGCCCATGTCCAGGACCCGTCTGTGTGTGGTGGCTCTTGATGCAGTAACTCCAGCCTCAGTCCACTCCTCGTGAAGCTCCCCCACACATTTGAATGGCCTTTTCCTGACAATCCTCTCCAGGCTACGGTCATCCCTGATGCCTGTCACTGTGCACCTTTTTCTTCCACACTTTTCCCTTCCACTCAACTTTCTATTAATTTGGCTTGATACAGCACTTTGAGAACATCCAACTTCTTTTGCAATTACCTTTTGAGGCTTTCCCTCCTTGTGGAGGGTGTCAATGATGGTTTTCTGCACAACTGTCAGGTCAGCAGTCTTCCCCATGATTGTGAAGTCCACTGAAGCAGACTGAAAGACCAATTAAAGGCTCAGGAACCCTTTGCAGGTGTTTTGGATTAATTAGCTGATTAGAGTATGACACTTTGAGCCTACAATACTGAATCTTTTCACAATATTCTAATTTTCTGAGATTTTGAATTTGGGGTTTTCATAAGCTGTAAGTCATAATCATCAAAATTATATCAAATAAAGGCGTGAAAAATCTCACTTTGCATGTAATGAGTCTATATAATATATTAGTTTCACCTTTTTAGTTGAATTACTGAAATAAATGAACTTTTTCACGATATTCAAATTTTTCGAGTTTCACCTAGCCTATGTTTATATTGTCCTCAGCGGTAAATGGCGCTAAGGGGGAATTACACTGGCATCACTCGCATCTAAACACATTAATCACGATATGAACAGAGTAACAACAATCGGATATACAGCTGCGACATGAAAGTGTTAATATATCACAATATAACCGCTAAATATAAGAATAAATGAACTTACATTCATGCACGAAGAAGATGTGGAAGATGGCGACAGAGACGAAACTGAAAGTAAACTAAAACCGCTCTGGCGGAATGCGCGTCAGCGCGCTGCTAGTGCACAACACAACAGCGTAACACATTAAAGGGCGACCCATACCATATATGTATAATCCATCTGGAATATCTTCCCACACAAGCTTTTTCATATATTGGGGTATTAGATTTTTATTGATGTGTAATTACAACATATCAAAAATCCA